TTGGGGGGGAGGGGGGGATTTGGTTAAGTTGGGGGGGGGGGCCGATTTGTTGTTTTCTGTGTTGCCACAAAACAACGGATCGCAAAGGAGCAAATGAGAGGTTTCCATGCACCCAGACAGAGGACCTAATGACCTTAATCACCTTACTAAACCGTAGTGAAATTGGCACTAGCTGGTTGATTTAAGTTCGAGGTCAAACTGCTTCTAGAAGGACCCCACGGTTCTCAGAAGCACCCATATACCAATCCGGGGGGAACTTAACATTGGCTTGTCTTTGTGTGGGATTCCCTCCAAACATATTTTATACTTAAGATTTGTTGGCTAGACTATATATGGAGCGGAGTCAGAACATGTGATGTTCTCTTTCCCAGATAGGGGCCAAGTCTTTTGTACGCCATACAAGGGGGCTTCAACTCATCCCTTTGTGGAAATCCAAACCCAAACATGTCATATAAATCCCGACTCTACACGTTTCTTCGCGGGGGTTGTTCCATTCAAGGCTCAGGGTTTGCGGGTGGAAACTCGTCAAGCGGAAATGACCAAACGAAGAATTGCTTTATGGCTACTTGGTTGGCTCTTTAGACTTTAACGTTGTGCTTGAAACAGGTCGGGGGTTCCATTGGACCCACAAAAAGTTAAACTTTTGTAGAGGGGTCAACAGCAACCGCGAATTGTAAGTGGGTAGGTTTGTTATGTTTCCTATTTTTCCGAATTCCTTGATTTAGCACCTAGTTTGTGGGCTTAGCATTGTGATTCCGGTCGGTTGCGATTGTGTCATGGACCTCCAAGGGGCTCTTGGGGGGCCATCCAAGGATGTCAAACGGAAACAAATTAAGATAAACAACATGGAGCCCACCTGAAGGCTCCTTACAAAGGAAGATTGTCTTCCAGAACCCCTCAGTCGGGTTCCATGTTCGTGCACCGGGGGGGGGGGGGAGTATCTTTTTGCTGGTTTCGAAAATCTCGCCATTTTTGCCAGGTGGGCCTTTGCAAGCTGCACCGTGCCGGATCTGGTGGCTTTCCAGTGCGACCCGGCGCATGCAAGGGCTCGGCCAGGTCACTCCCTGAGTTCGACTTGAAACTGGTTTGAACAGACCCAAAAGCGGCAAACTGCTCCTGAAGTTTGGACAGAAGTTTGGGCCAATCCGCATGAATGAATTCCCGTGTCCGAGCCACTTTTAGAGAATCCTGTGGCAACTATGGAGCCGTGGATCCAAAATGAAGCTTCGGGATGCAATTCGCAAAGGACTGCTTGCCAATCAACGTGAGAATCACTTGTTCAGTTTTCCAACATCCCATTTTGAAGGGCAGTGAGAGGGTCCACCCTGGTGCTTGCCCGGTAGATTTACCTTTTGAGGAAAGGGGGTCATTGAGCCCAAAAGGGGTTTCTGCCAAATCACCGTGGTTTGGCTCAATGTTTCAGCCAGCCACGTTTGAGCTGACTTGTTTAACGGGTGAATTGTTGTTTTGTTTGCACAGAATGACTTCGCTTGCCTTGTTTAATGTTTCCGCAAGTCCATGCTTGCCTGTTTGTGTTTATGCAACAGGCCGTGTCTTATTTCCAACGACCTGTCGACTTGGACATGGATTAATGTCAAGTTGCAGCCTCTGTCCAGGACACCATTCTGCACCCTAAGACCTGTGGGCAATGTGTGCTTCAGGATCAATTTCGGTTTAAATTCGGTACTGAAATCCAGGGTCGAGTTTTGTCAGGAACATGGAGAGGCCTGGTCATTTTATGGGAACCCATGAACCACAAGGTGAAATGGAGGTCAACCAAGATGGTTTGGGCTTGGCAGGAATCTGCATATGCTGTTTGCTCACATTGACCACGGTCAAATGAATGCTTTTTTGCGGATACCCTTTCTGGAATAGTTTGAAAGGGGCACTACAAGGAAGACAGCCAATCATGTTTCGGTCCAGCCCCGTACTGTAAGACCTAGGAATGGTCATGAACTAAGGAATTCAGACCGTTGGCAGGGCCAGGACTGCGGAAGGAACATCTCTGGATTTGGCTCACGGGGCTCGGGAGGAGAAGGAACGAACTCTAAGTGTCAACCAAAAAGCCAGGGGACAAACCTTGGGGGAGCAAGTCATTTTCACATCTCTCTTTTTTGCGGGGGAACCCCAACTTGCTTTTCTAGCACCGAACGGGAGGCAAACACGGGGGTTGGAGAAGACGGGTCCCTGTTGACCGTGGCTCACAATTGTGTCCACGTTTGGAAAGTTACATCTTTGCTCTTTGCAAACATGAAGTAACGATTTCAATCCTAGGTTTGAGATCGGAGGTTGGCCATGACATGAAACCAGCCCCTCAATCCGTCGCAAGGTCCACAGAGCAAGGCTCCGAGCATTACACGCCGGGGATCTCTGGATTGCGGGGTGGTGGAGGGGGTGGGGTTGGAGGGTTCGTGTGCCCGAGGCCCAGTTTTTAGTATAGTCAGGTTGACATGGAACAGGAACTTCTTGTGGCTTCCGCGTGTTTCATGTTGATGTAGGGAGTCCTTGCAAAAGAAAAACACGGTCTCACTCGATCCCTGGCTCCTGGACTTGGATTTTTTGGGGGAGCATCGGACTTTCGCGACGCCCCCATAGCAAACCTTGCGGCAAAATGCAAACTACAATGCAAGCACAGAGTTGCCAATCGGGGGTGGTCCGCGTTGGATGGCTTTCGTTTTGCCTTGTCCCTCTCAGTCATTCTGTTTTGCTCGCTGCTGGCGATGAGCAAATGCGCCACAATCAGAGCCCAGGTGGGAGGGTGCAAATGGAGTGTACTGGCCGCCAGAAATAGGTTCAATGGGTTTTAGGTAGCCGCTAGACCATGTCAATGCCACATTTTGATGGCCTTGTGACCAAGGAGCAAATCAGCAACCTGCTGGGTTCCCCGCCAGTGATGTTTTGGTGTTTGGTTCTGGGGAATCAGGGGGTTGATCAAAAGGTCCGAACGTGGGATATCAGGACACCACACACAAGTCTGACTCTCACCACATGGTCCCATGGTTGTTTTGGGGCCAGGAAGATTGATCAACCCCCACATCTTGAATGCAATTGGGTTGGAACTTTGGCCTTCAAACTCAGGGGGGGGCCTTGCCGCGCAGCTTGGGGCGCTGGTTCTGAACCATGGCCGATTTGTGGCTGGACGTGGACTTGCTGCATGTCCCACAAGACATGGGCCGGGGCCAGCTCCGGGCTAGCATATGTTGGCCGTGGCTCACGTGGATTCAAGTCCCTTGTTGCTCTCCTGGGTGTTGCTTGTGTTTCACTTGGCCCGGTGACCAAGCCGACTTGCCGCTTTGGATCCTACCTCCAAGGAAGAAGGTGCTTACAAGAATGGTTATCCAACAGCAGTTATGATTCCTACACAACCATGACCATAGGGAGCTTGACCATGGCTCACACGACCGTATCGCCCCGAGCCAAGAGCCAAGCTTCCGCGCCTCTAGACACTTCTGGTTGTCCAAGCGTTTGGTGGTGGCCAAAGCACCTGTTGATCAGGTTTCCCTTGATTGGTGGTTTGGATTGGTGGTTTGGTTTCGGAATTGCGCGCGTCCCTGGTTCTTGTTGATGGTAGATGGGAAACCATCCCAAACCATCAAACCATTTGGGGTTTGGGAAGCATGAAGGCTTCAACTTCGCAGTCAAAAGAAAGAAGCCTGTCAGGGTGGGTGGTTTTTGAACCTCGCTGGGAAATCGAGACATGTTCAAGGAAAGGGTCAAGTAGCTTCAAGAACCAGCCCACCCCCGTTTGCTTTAGGGGTCAATTGTCCATCCAGCCTAACCCACTGTTGAACCCTACTTCTTCTGGAAGTACGCGAGAGGTACCTAACGCGCAAACTGCCAAGCGGAAGGCCAAAGTGGTGGGGCCAAAGGAGAAGCCCATGTGCTTTAGTGGCAATCTCTAAAAAAGACCCCCATTTGACGCCCAGGTAGTGAAAAGCTCAGGTCCTGCGAGAGAGATACCTCGAACCTTGACTTGCTGCTGGATCTTCTGCTGGCGGACGCTTGGATGTGAGATGATGTGAGGCAACTCGCTGGCCGGTCTGCTGGAGTCACTTTGGGAGTTTCCAAAAATGGCCTATGCCCTTGGGTCTGCCCCCAGAGCAATAACAGCTAAATACAGCCATTGGGGGCCTTGGTTAAGTTTAAAGCTGGTTTGGGAGTCATACACATAGACCTAGACATAGACATAGACATTGACATAGACAGCGACTACTTTTCCCCGACGCAGCAAGTTGAAAGCAAAGCGCTAAAGCTAACACCAAGTTCTGAGATCTTGATCTGACTGAAATCACAAGCTGGTGGGACGTGGCGCAGTCAGCGCGGAGCTGGCCGCTTCGCCCATTGAAGCGCCTTTTTCCTTAAGATTCTTCCGCGTGCAGGCCTGTTGGAGGAGCCCCAGGTCCTGAAAGACGGGTTCAGGACCAGGGCCTTTGTGCTTCCCCGACGCCGACACAATGACAGCCACTACCATTTGCGTCGCGACCTGGGCAGACAGCTGTTTGCAGGCCAGCCCAACGGCTGCTGGCTGTTGTGAGCCCCCCCCTCTTTGTATAAGATGGCTTTCACAGCTTTCAAGCCACTACCCGCAGAGGTTTAATGGGGCATGCAGCCACTATGAACTATGCATGTCAAGGAAATGACCATTTTACGGGGCTTCTGACAAGTAGGGTCCTCCGGAATAATCCGAGGCCAACATATTGTATTGAGACAAGCAGCAGAAATATGACCCACAGTCCTAGATCCAAGCTCTAGCATTGAAAGATGCACACATGTGAGGGCGCCCATGTTTCTGGGGTGGAACTAGGACACATTCTGCATGTTACCAGCGACTCAAAGTGAAGAAAGCACTAACATATTCATTCCATATCTGGTTGCCTATCTCTGTCCATGGTTTGAAAGGTGTTCTGAGAACAAACCAAGCGGCGGCCGCGTTTGCTTGGGGGTTCTCGGGGTGCGAGGACTGGATGCCCGCCGACGCGGCCTTGAACTTGCCCGGGGCCATGGCCATGGACAATGCCAGGCCTTGGTTCGAGTGGGGTTGGCGCTCGTGGAAACTTCCGGGCGCGTCGTCTAGGGTCTAGGGGTTGGTTGAAAAGGAAACCCGAGAGGAAAGCCGAAGTCGGTTTTTGGGGTCCGACTATTTTGATGCTCATTAAGTTGAGAAGAAAGTAGAAATTCGCGCATTTGTTGAGCCGACTGTGATTCAGTCTACTTTTGGCGGGGTGATGTTTGAAGGGGGCACATAAAGGCTGTCCTCACCCTTTCTTGTCATGGTTGGAGCATGGGTTTGCAAAAGCGATCGGCGGGGCAGAAGCTCGACGTCACCCATAACTTCTACATGCTTAGAGTTGTTTGAGTCACTGGGGTGTGGCTGGTTCTTAAGCGAAGACAGGAGGACAACCACCAGTTTGAGGGGTCCCCTACAAATGCTACAAATGGACGCACACCCAGCTGTGTTTGGAGCACAGTGGCAAACAAAGCGCGGTTACGTTTTTGGTTTCCAATGCGCTCGATCGGAAGTGAGGAAACCAATAGGTTGCCAAGGGTTCAGCACTCAAAGCTTTGCAAGCAGCGCTTCTTGAGGCCTTTTCTTTGGTGCCTAAGTTTTCTCTATAAAACTACTGTTTAGCACTTGAATCAACCCTAGAAACTTTGCTTTTGAAGCCCCAAGACCAGTTCCTCGGTGCCTTCGACTGCTCTACGAAGCACTCCTTTGGTGCCCGAAGAGCTGCTTTACGAGGCATTTCAGCTTCCAATATGCGCCTGAGCTTCTGACCTTGTTTCGGGAGTTTCAGATGGGCAGAAAAGGATGGTGTTTCCCAGGGACGTATTGTTCTGCACAGTTCGTCAGATACCCTGCGTGCAGATCCCTGTTTGCAAGCTAAGGGCTTCACAGGCGTTTGTGAACGCGTACCTACTTTTGGCTTTTGTTTGATACCCACAAAACGTGGGGGCTCGGGGAGGGAGCGAGCGGCTCCAGCCAGCCCCATCAAAACCAAAAGTAAGCGACGCCCCACGGTGGACGCGAACCAACTCCTGGGCGTGCTTGTTAAATTCGGATAAATCCGGACCCTATCAGTCAAAGGAAGTACCCTAGATCCCTTACTACACAGAGAGCCACCCTTATCCACATTTAACATTGTCTGGCGGCACAGGCGTTTGTGCTTGCAAAACCTTGGGGGGTGCTCGGCATGAGCACTGAGGTGATGCTCATGACAATCTAGCCCTACGTTCCATCCAAGAAGTTGTCGGGCAAGCAGCATTTTTGCAGAACTCCATGCCAGGGTGTCCACTTTGACACTCCTGTTGGTTTGGTCAGTCGGTGTTTTGTTACATCAAAATCACACGCGAAACAAGGCTTGTTTTTTTTCCTGCGGCCACTGTTCCCTACTAAAGAATCCGCCAGCCAGAAAAGGCTCCGATTCTGTTTCTATTGGAAGAGTCACTGCGCCGGCAACTAAGTCAGGTTGTCCTTCTTCTACAAGAGTCCCTTCAAAATCAACCGGCCACGCAAACTTTGTACTATTGTTCGTTGGTCAGGTTTAAACTCGTTGGCTTCCGCTGGTTCTATTCAATTGCCTCCGCCCATTCCTAGGGCGCCATAATATGGCGACCTTGCCAAGGGACTCCTTAGTTCGCATTGCTGAATTCTAATTCGTGCCGACGGACTCCTGGGTCATTGGGTTCACCAGCGTTGACCTCGTGATTCACCAACACGGTTTGCCAGTTGCTTGTGACATGATCTTGGCTGCTGTCGCGTTGGATCTTTCGACTTTAAGGTTTCGAGGACTGAAGTTAACCTTTTGTTTAGCCGTCAGTATTGATGAGTTTCCCAGGCCGTGAGATCGAGCGCCTCGCAGGCAGCTGCTGTACTTCTGCGACACGGGGAACCACAAGATCAAAGTCTTAGTGCCTGCGGAAGCATTCAGCGATTCGGATTTCTGATGATCAAGAATGTTTGGACTGGATGCTCCACCCAAATTGGAACCCCGGAAGCTTTGGGGAAGTATGCAGTATTTTTGGGGGAGCTTGCGGGTCCCGGTCAACCTGTTGGGTTCTGGAATCTGTTTGCGTTTACGCAAAGCTTGCACTTATGTTTGGCCAAACGCAGGGACTGACTGACGATTGACGAAATCCAATAACCGCTCCACTTGAAAAGGGTCACATCCTGAGGGTCCCAGGCATCTTCCCCGCGTTCTTTTGTTTTTACCTTGCTCCGTTTTGAAGTTTTTGTGGTGGTCTTTGGATGTCTCGGGGGTAGATGAAGGCTAGCAGGCTGGTGACAACTTGAATCCAAACGTATCTACCCGTGTTTTGGTTTAAAATGTAGGGTGCCTAGACTAGTATGACCCAAGCAGTGTGAAGTTGCCCCGAACCTTGAAACGACTAACTAAGGGTAGGCAATTGGTAATTATTCGGTCCTTATGCTCAACCAATTTCCTTTTCTGGCTCAGTTGGATTAGAGATTGTTAGAGATGACACAGTCAAGAAATGGGACCAGTTTGATTTTCTCTAGGGTGAGACTCTGCGATGTGTGGGATCTGTTTTAAGGTTGGTTTCAAGGAAAATCAAATTAATGGGAACCCTGTTTAGGTTCTTGTCCGAACCCCGCCTTAGATTGGCGAAGACGAGAAATCTCAGGACATCTCCCGGAACGAGGTGCTGACAGTGGCCGGCATTGGCGCCTCTGTGAGCAAATTTAGCCGCAGCCCCAGCGAGCAGCAACCAGTCGCTGACACCAATGAGTCACAAGAATGCAGTACAGAGGAAAACACAAAAATAGTTGCTTCCTTTTTGACACGGATTGGCGTTGATGCTCTTCTGCTTCACTTGCGGATGCGTACCCTAACATGAGATCTGACCGGTGGGTGCTGGAAGACCTACGTATGGCCACACGTATGGCCAGCGAATCGGATGTGCACCATGTTCCTAGACTGCCTTTCCCACATGACAAAGTCGATTGAGTCCTGGGCACGAGACAAAGGGCTGCATGGTGGAAAGGGTTGGGCTTTTCTAGCCCAAAGCGGGGCTCTAACAAAGGCCCCACTTCAATCAAATTATCCACCCGCGGACTCCTGTCCATGACCTTGTAAGAAGATCTTTGCCCCTCCACAGGAGAAAAAAGGGTATTTCGCTTATACTCGTTTTCCTGGAGTGGTTTGGGGGTGGAAACAAACTTGGAATGGTATCGCGGGCGCTTGGATGCAAACGCTCAGCTGGAAACCTCACCACGTCTCGGTTTTCCTTCGGAATTTTCTCCCTAACATATATGGCAACCTCCCATTTTCAAGTTTTGTGATTTTAGTCTTTGTTGAGCCCCGCCAAAGGGATACCACTCAGCTTGGGTCAGGCTACTTAGTAGGTAAAGGTTGTAACCATGGGGGTATAAGGATGTACACGGTCTGACTATGGCTACAGCCATAAGTAGCTTGAACACGCATGAGCCCCCTTGACTCGCAACAGGTGGGGATGGCCAACCAGCACGGGACGCGGTGATGGCAACCCCCGCAGGGCTCGCACTGGATGAGGTGCGGTACAGCGAGCTTTGGACAACACAAGGGAGTGTTCAGAACGCCGTTTTGGTTTTCTTCTTTTGTTGGCTTAGAACATATGGGGTTGCTGAGGATAAGGCCATTCAATTGTATGTCTCTATCAAACCTGCAAAAGGGTGATCGACCTTTTTGCAAAAGAGTAACCCAGATGTTTGGATTTTGGGAGAAATTGGATCTTAGATGGGTTTTGATTTACTCACCCCCCCCCCCCAAATTCCTGGTTGCTCGATGCACGCTTTTTGACATGGCTTGAACCATTTTAGTGGCAAGCTAACAGTTTGGTCACTGTTTTACGCAAGACCAGTGGGTGCTAAATTGCCATACTTGCTGCGTTTGTTTCGTCAAGGAAGCTGAACGTAGATGTGTAATTCGTTGAACCTCTTCACGCTCTATATTTTGCACAGTCTTCTGTGATACCACTGGAGGGTTTTCCATGTCATTTTTTTCCTATGGCTGCCCACTCTCTGTGAGCCTACATTGGCTAGAGGATCATTCTTGATACCGAAGGTGGGCGCATTTTGATTTTTTAGGCCACTACAACCTGTATTATCGTCATTCGTATGTCAAAACAAATGACTTTCAAAGGGTTGTTCTATCACACCCTGGGATTACACCCTGGGGAAATGCTCCGAAATGACCGAGTTTCATCCCGAAATATGTCAGGGTGTAATGCGTCAGCTCTTGGCTTACGCGTTTCCAGCGAAGCCAATTTAGGAAAGCAAATGTTCACGCCGAACAGCCCTCATTCACCTCAACAGTTGAGCCGCGTGGTTATATTTGGATATAGACTTCAATCCTGTACCGTAGCACCGGATCCTGCCAGAAGTGTCCGATTCATGTTTGACGTATCGCTTGAATGATTGAACAAGTCTGGGATGATGTGTGCTTGCTCTTTGGCTTCTCCTTCCTTGTACCCTTTGGTACTCGTAATGTCACTTTCTTGCGTTTCCAGTCAGTGTGTCTGTTGGTTTCGAGTTTTACAGCCTGAGTCACGAGCTAGGCTGCCAGCGTGAGCCAGGAGAACGGACACCTCTACCTTGCGGATCACGAGAATCACGTGCTGCTTTGAAGAAATAGGCGGCAGTTCAACCAACATGGGTCGGGGGGTTCCCGTCTTTGGCTGGCGTTGAAAGGAAACCAAAGGGAAAACCAATTCGGGCGTCCCCTCTTCTGAGACGGACCCACATTTTCTCGCCACTGCTGCTGTTTTCTATCTGGCTTCATGGAGTAAGGGCTACACTGCCTACAAAAAGTCGCCATGTTGGTAAGCCAAAGGAAGTGAGTGTTTCAGTCTAAGCCGGTGATTTTCGATGTAAGGCTGGCCACTTGTTGACCGCTCCTTGCTTGGGGCCCCTGGTGTCTCAAAATGCTTACAAACCTTGTTTGGTTCACTTGCCATGCACTACACTGATGGTAGGGAGCATTTGAATTCCTGTCAGGGTTCACATTTCACCAGCTTCTTTGATGTTTGCTGATTGCTTGTCTTGAGTTTTTGGGAAGACCGTTCTGGTGGTAAATAAACAGTTGCATTGCTAGTTTTTTTTGCTTCCAAACTGTTTGTCCCAGGAATTATTTCACCGGATTCACAGCTTTGGATGTAGGTTGTTGGAAGCTCTGCCAAACCTTAAATTGCGAAGCTCAGATACCGGTATTTTCCTGCACTCCTTCCTTGACCCGCCTGACCCTGGTTCCTCCAAGAACTGCGGACACCGGTTGGCAGCTGGCTTGCGGATATCTGGCTAGCAAAGGCCCCGCGCGAACAACGGCTTGCTTGCAAAGGTTTGAACAATGCTTCTAGTTGTACCTTCTCCATTCCCTGAAGCTTCAGGGATGCTTCCTTAAAACTAGGCCACCCCCTGGGAAATGGCTGGTTTCTAAAGCGAACCATGAGCGAGAATGGGGAATCAACATCAACCCCTGGAACACTACGGAGCATTGCATTGAACTGACTCCAAGAAACCCAATAAGGCAAAGCGTGTGCGCGGCCAGAATCGAGCTTCGGAAGCCTGACCCGTTCAAGTGTGCTCCAGAGCATTCCGTGCCTCAAAAGTCCAAATGATTATTATCCGCATGTTGGAGTGTTTATGGTACCCTTCTCACTTGCCCAGCTGACAACCCCTTTCTGCGCAAGAAATTAGTCATGGGAAAGGCCCACTTTGGTGTGACAAGGGTTGTTTCCCACGGAACACGTTTCACGTTGAGACGAATCCATAAAGAGACTGGCCGCCGACCCGGTCCAGCGATCAAGGATCCGACGCGTCAAGCAGCTCGGCAGCTGTCCTTTGAATTGAACTGAACAGTGTTGCTGTGCTGATTTCTGTACTTTGAAGTCTTTGCAGGCATATTTGAAGTCTTTGCAGGTATGGCTCTTTTCAGAGAGTTGCCAGGGAATTGGGTGGTTTCTCAAAAGAATGATGGGTGAAAAGAACAGGGGATCCTTTATATGATTTGTTGCATCGTGGCCAAGCCGAGCCCTAAAGGCGCCAGGAAATCAAACGGCCGCAGGGCGACACTCCAAAGATGGTCTAAATCCAAGGGTCGAAGACTGGTTTGGTTTTTGTTGGGCTCCCTTCACCAAGGACCAAGTTTCTACTTTCACGCTCGGGTCGGAGTGGACTTTTTGGTCAGTTTGATGGACCCTTGATCAGCATGGTCTCATGCTAGTTATTATCATTTGCCAGTGCCATCTGTTTTGTGCCTATTGCGAGCACGGCTCGAGGACAAAAACCTCCCACCATGACAGTCCTCTATGTGGCAGTTGCTTTTCGGGCGGAATCGCAACATGTTCACAGATGCGTGCGAGTTTATTTGGGTGCATCATATACCCCCGAAAACTCGTGTTGTTGTGTTTTGTTGTGAATGGACAATATCCTGCACCGTGGGATGCAACTGTTCTGAATACCGGCTGACGAACAAGCAACCAGCGCCGATCGGCGTGGGATTTTGCCCATTCACATGACCTTCCTCCCCACATTTTACCAATCCACATTTTGACAGGTAACCCTGAGGTGGTGGTTTCACAGGTTGAAGCCCTCGTTCCTGCAGAGATTAAATGAGCAACCACCCCAACCTCCAAAGCACCAACCCACACCACCAAGCAGAGGGAAGCTGAGTGTTTCTTTCAAAATAGGTTTTGGCGGTCCTACCAGCTGGTTGACTTTGGTTTTCAATCAGCCGAGTTTCGACGGAGCAAGCACTCCCAAAAGCGGTCCTTTAGCTTCCCGTTGAACCACGGTCCCCTACGCATCCAGAGTCAGGTCTCAGCGCTGGGGCTGCGAGTTCCACCTCAAAAAGAGACCCACCCATTAAGGAATCGACCCCGAAATAAGTCGATTCGCTGGTGAATCCGTTTCCGCATATACAAGGGAACCAACCTTTAGCCAGGTTAATATGGCGAAGGGTGGCCGAAACTGGCTTGCTTGGGATCTGTGTTTGGTTACACTTCAAAACCAACCTGGTGTGTGTGTGTGTGTGTGTGTGTGTGTGTGTGTGTGTGTGTGTGTGTGTGTGTGTGTGTGTGTGTGTGTGTGTGTGTGTGTGTGTGTGTGTGTGTGTGTGTGTGTGTGTGTGTGTGTGTGTGTGTGTGTGTGTTTGGGGGTTACCCGTTGTTGGAAGAGGGGAACAAACGGAGCCCCATCAATTTTTGGGTCCAACCTCAAGAAAGACTCACCCGCTCAACACAGGCTGGGCGAGAATCGTCTCACCGGCATCATCGAGTCTGTGGCCGGCACCGGCGTGGGCGGGTTGGCGCCTTGCAGCTAAGACCCGGACTTTTTTTTGCTTTTGGATTTGAACCATTTTAGTAGAAAATAAAAGCATAGTTTTCCTGACCCATGAACTCAGCAAGTGAGTTTAGCTTTCCCTGTGTGTGTTGTCGTTTTAGTAGAACCCCCTTGTTTGTTGGTTTTAAAGGGAAACCAAGAGGAAACACACACATGCACCCTTTCCAGAACCTCAAAATAGGTGTCTTTTGATACGATCCAAGAACAGGAGCACCCAATATGAATTATCATTCTGACATCAGTACCCCCAATTGGTGTAGCCATGATCCTTGAACTCTTTTAGCTTGGAGGCACCTTTCGGAAAAAGACAGGGTTTCCACGGGTTGACGAATTGTTTACAAGGGTTCCCACGGGTGTAAGGGGAATAGCAGCTTAACAGCTGCGTTACAAGCTGATTGGCGGTATCATCAGTGTCCCCACAGCCACCCTGAACCAACCCTACCCTTAACGTTCTTTATGAACCCACCAAAACCCACACCTGAAAGTGAGAAGTGTCCTTACTCCAAATACGCCAAAATGTCGACCCCGCAATGGATCAACAGCGTTGTTTATTAGGATGGCATTCCCCCCCAAACAAATCGAATGATCCCCTCAAACACGGGATTTGCCCGATGAATCAACCAGGGGTCTATGAATCTGGGGTTGACATGTCTCGTTTTATTTGTTGCCCGTTTTTGGAAGGCCAACTTTCCAGATGTCGGCTTCAGAAGTGGGCGATTGGGAGTAGGTCCCGCTATTTACTTCCCCCTGTCAGGGGACAAGCTGCGCGGATTCTTACCTCTCAATGTCAGGCGGAGATTTCGAGATCCCTTGCTGTTCGGACGGTCAAGTTAAAGATATGGGCAGCCGGTCTCCTCGCAAGACTATTGTACATACTTTTGGAGTGAGGCGAAAATTAAACGCAGGATGGGGGGGGGTGTATTGCAAACGGCCATCAACAAGTTTGGGGAAAGGAATGAACATGTACCACCCAGCGGGACGTTGTTTCATCAATTCCACTTGGCCGCGTCGTTGGTGGGATTCTAAACCCAGGCTGCAGAACCCCCTCCCCCGAAAAACCAACCCTAGGTGGCCATAGGACATCGGCAGATACGGGTCAGGGTGCCTTCTTTAGGGAACCCCTTTTTGGTTGATTCTAAAGCAAAGCCAAGAATAGAGCCACCCTTTTGGGGGGTTCCCCTTAAAACCACCGCCATATCTTTGCCTTTGGGAGTAAAGATTCGGATCCGTCATGATGCAAGTGGAGAAGCCTTAAGCTGGGGTTGACCGTCGATCTTTTGAGAAATCTAGGCGCAGGATGGGCTCGCGCCCTTGTTGTCGCGGTTCAACTACCCGCGCGGCCTCGCTCTGGAGAAACTGAGCACCGGCGTGAGGATCGGCCGAATCGAATCGGAATCGAATCGGAGTCGGTCAGTCGGTCCAGGTCTGTGCGTGACTTTTCCTCACTTCCGGAGACTTAGTTTCGGACTTCACAGGGATCCTTAAAAGATACATTTTGCCCACTTGAAACATGGTGTGTTCCACCAAAATAAGGGGAAACCACCATTGACAAGGCAATGTTCAGGTGTATAATGTAAGGATCCCTGCTTCAGTGAATGTGTTGACTTTAGACCAGCATGGCGTCGGTTTTCCTGCTGGGTTTCTTGGAAAACGAGGGACTATATCTGTAGCCAAGGGAAGCACTCACTCTCTGAAGTTTTGGTACTTTTGCGGGGTTCGAGCAATTGTGTGGCAAGTAATTCAGAGCTGTCGTTAATCTACTCAGGAAGTGAGCAAGGACACCAAGAGCTCGCAGTTGCCTGTATTTCCGTTGCCAGTATGGGTAACCAAGGGAACCATCATGTCAAAACTGAAAGGACCAATAGCTATAGCCGGGGTTGGGGATTTGTTCCGTGGTTCTACTTGGATGCTCGACTCGCTATGTCAACCAAAAGGTTGGCCCCCTAAGAGACATGATGGTAAGCGAGTTGAATATTCATGGAAGGGTTTATTGGGGTGCTCCTAAGGGATTAGGGTTGATTGGACTTGCTTGGGCAGTTTCTGAAGGGGCTTCCCTGTGAAACCATCTAAGGGCTTGTGATTTGCACCCGGGAAATTCGCTCAGTTTGGGGTGGTTTGCAGATGAGTATGTTGAAGCAGTTTGGGTCATTTGCCAAGGGTGCATCCCTGGCTCTTCTGAGGGTTGATTTTGTTTCCATTCTCTTCACACATTATTGAGCTCAGAAACCACCCATGTTCCCGACGTGTTCAAAGCAGCAACCAAATGGGCCATCGTTGGAAGATATTTGCATCCGCAAGCGAGGGAGGGTACGGCAGCTTCCCTTTTGGTTTTGCAAAGGGTGATGTGCAGGGGAATGGAATCGCTGGCGTGGATGGTCAGCATTCTGCTCCCGGTGGTATGGATGACATCCTATGAGGTCTGGCTGGTAAAGCACAAATCCCAACCGGGGAGTCCAACCAGAAACCATGACGACTCTTGTTTGGTGGTGAGCCAGAATAATTCGGATATTTGGGAAGCTGAATAAAGTGTCCTGCAAGACGGTGTTTGTCCTGGAGCTGGGCAAAACTCTTGTTCTGGTCGTCCTCTCGTCCAGAAACCTCTTGAATTTGGGGCCACTTCTTTGGGCCATTTCTTCGGAGTTTGTGATCTGATCGCTTTCCCCATGTCCTTTGGGGGAAGTTTGGTCCGCTCAGCGATGGAGAAGCAGCTCCGATTCTGTGACGTACGAATGGGGTCCGCTTCGGAAGGCGCTTTGATACATTGTGTGCCGCCTCGGCTCGTTCTAAACTCTTCTCGCCAAAAAACATCGCGGCTGCAGGAAAAAAAGATCAGAAACGAAAGCTAGCCAAGCGTTGCCTAGTTAAGCACACGTCCCCAGCACAGGCTTTTTGGCCGTGTGGTGATACCCTCGAATTGAACCGCTGAGGGGTATCACCAGTTTCGCAAGCTTCCCTCACTTCCTGAGTTCATGATTTTTAATCTTTTTGGGAAGACCATTTTAGTGGTAAATATAAAGTGTGAACTGGTTTTGGGCCATCCACTCAGCAAGTGAGTTCCTTGATTTCCCGTGTCCCACTTTCCATAGCTCCCTTGAATCCATGTTAGGTTTTCGGTTTCCCGGAGGATCTACGTCGCGGACTCCCGGAACCATCAGGCGAACCAGCGTTGGGATGTTTGGGGCATGGACGATGGAGTGCTCGTCTTTGGGGGCACCCCTTTCGTTTAAAAGGACACCGAACGGAAAACCACAAAATTTCGGGGTTTGAAAACGCACCCGGATGTTTCGGGGCTTTTGTTTTTGTGCATAGGGAGTCAAGAAGTCTTGGCCCACTTTGCAGATTTCGGGTTCCTAAAGCAAGCCTTTGCTTTTGGTTGGTGGATAGTCTAGTCGCTTTGAAAGCCGTGGGGTTGGATCCAGAAGGTTCTTTTTGGGGGAAATCCCTAGGATTTTACTCCCCGTCCTAGGATCTAGGCAGGTGGAGGCGGTTTGTTGAAAGTGTCAGGTTCTCTCGGAGAAGACTTTCTTTTTTTTCTGACCAAAGTTGCAATAGTTATTTGGTCTGAAGGGTGTGAAACCACCTGCTGCAACTGGTGCTGATCAGCGTGAACTGTTATCCATCAACAAAGTTCAAAACTTAAAACCATTCCATACTTCAAGATACATTTGAGTCACCTTTTCTCAAGACACAACGGGCAACCCTGGCCATTTGGCCATTATGTTGGTTTCCCACAAGGCCTTCTCCCAATTTCATACCTTCCAGATGTGGAACACCTTCCCCTTTGCATCTGATTTTTTCTGCCTCTGAAAACAGTAAAAAGCTCAGGCAGTGGACTTCCTTTGGGGCTCCGGAGCCTTCAGATGGTGACACCTCGAGTGCGCTGGTGGACGGCTTCAAACATGTGATTGTCGGTTGAACACTTGGTTTATCTTAGTTTCCAGTTTGCCTTTTCCAGGGACCAACTGTTTGTCCTTGTGCCGACAGGGTCATGATGTTCTTTTGGTTCAAAGGTCGACTGTCCAACATTGCACCCTGACCCCAAAACCCCGCATCTTTGCCTGCCCAACAGGAAGTCGATTGGCTACCTGTTGACATCGCGTGTCAGCCGATTCCGCTAATCCTGTGGCTCTTTCCAGATGTGCGACGAAAGAAACAACATATGTTTGGGGTTACTGCATCACCTCCTATGAAGGGCTAACCCGTGCTCCAAACACACGTTTTAAGGGTATGATACATAATATATACATATATACGTATATCACGGTTTCAACGGTACATACAACATTGTGCGGTGAAGGGTTAACATTGTACCCTGAAACAAGTCGGCGTTGGGAGTATACAGGGAGTGGGGTGTAGATTGAATTCACAGGGGGCGTCGCGGAGTCGTCGGGGGGGGGGGGTGCCACTCTTCCGGTCTTACCCAGAAACAGTGGACTTAAAGTCATAAATGAGAATTCAGGAGTCAAACTTCCATTCCCGCAATGCCCTAGTCAAGGTGGCACGGTTTTGCGAGCCTACCTAGCAGGGTTACCCTCCTGAGAATCCTCTACCGGAAGCAGTCTCCAAGAGCAGGTTGGGGAGGTGTCCATGTTGGATCCTTACTTGGATGCTCAGCTCACTCAAGTAAACTACAACCACGGGTTGTACCCTTTTCACCTTGGTTTGAAGGGAAACCAAAAAGGAGAGTGCCACACGTTGTTCGGGCTTGCCATTTCAACCCACATCAGCCCCAATCGGATGCAGGTGGCGGTGGTGGATCTCACTAGCCCCCAGATGGTCCGGAAGATTGCGGGCCGGCTGGAAGCAGGCGGGGGCCAATAGCCGCTTACCAGTCAATAGGATTTCTATTGGGTTTCATCGGGATGGTCTTCCCAATAGTTGCAGGGTTTGATCTATACCAACAGGTGCGGGGTCTGATGTCAGAAGGGCGTGTCTTATTGACAAAGTTTTGTGGAAAACCAACATGAAGCATTTCAGCGGTCCTCTCCCCCGTCTTGGCCAACAGGACTGCAATAGGAAAGTAAAAGGAGTTGTGTTTTTATTCTTCCAGTGCTGGTCAGGGCCACGATTAGTTTGGCGATTGTGTTATATATTAAGGGGAGGTGGCCTTGAAGGGGGGTAGCCTTTGTGAGCTTGTCGAACTTCTTTTTTTTTTGCAAACATCAGTTGCTCTTTCTACATAGCTGCGTCTTCAGAGATATGTTATGGCAATGTGTGGAAGAAGTATTCGCAACAGCATTTGTAGTTTAGAATTGCATTGTTCATTGGTTGTTCCTGGGGGAACTTAGCACCAATTGGAAGGGCTTGGGGCGTGAAACCAATAAAAAAGGACCCGTGTTCTCCAACTTTTTCTGTGGAACATCGTCTTGGATCAGGTTAGCATTGATCGCGGGGTCCCGACATTCCCCCAGAGGTGGGCCATGTTGTAATCTGTTTCTGGTGATTTGGGCAAAGGGGGGTGACCGGCGGATCTGTTCGTTTAAGTGAGCCGATCATGTGACGATGGGGTTATTTTGAAGTGCGTGCCCGGCAGCAATTACTGAGCTTGTTGGTTCGGAGAGGACTTTGGATTTTGGACATGGCAGAACTGAGCTTTTCTTCTTTTTCTTTTTTTTTTGGGGGGGGGGGGGGTGGTGCTGGAACCGTTGATGACTGATTGAAGATTCAATTTTAGTTGTTCGCGAACCTCGGGGTTACATTGCGTTTTTTGTTCTAGCAGCACGATGGTGCACTCGCCAGAACAACCTATTTCTACCTTTGGTCCTTGAAGTGGGACATTTACATCAGTTCGGCAGCTGAACCGGGGATTCCAACTCCGTCATGGTTTTTCCAAATCCTTCAACACCCATGCGTGCGGTATCTCTACAGAGGCCCAGTTTTGTTTAAAATGTGGTGCCCTTTGATTCGCCGGAGCCTCCCGAAAACGGTCTCACAACCCGCCCCTCAAAGCAAGGACTGCTGTTTTGTCAAGGATACTGCTCCAAAAGACACACCGATCATTTTTGTTTAAGTGCTCATCGGTGACTCATCTAACCTTTTGGAATTGGTACCCTATTTTTTTTGCGGTTTGCACGGGACACCACTTGGAAAACGAGTCATCGTCACTGTCCCCTGAAAAATACACACGAATCTTTATAGGAATTGCAACAAAACCCAAGGAGTGTTCCCCCTCCGAGGAACTTGCAGGCCCACCCATGAACTCATTGGCTGTGGGTCTATCACTGTGGTAGTTTGGAAAATCATAATCCAACAACCTGAGCCACAATCAAAATCGTGGGGGGAAGAAGGGGACACTCCCACAGATGCGGCTGCCCAGTTTCCAAGTTTTTTGCAATTTGGGTAGACTGGTCTGGTATCAGGTTTTGATGACCTTATGGAGGCTTCTCATGTTGGGTCTTGAACGCCCTGACATGTTGACGTCTCGTAGGAGTGGTACCCACAGAGGTGGGGGACAAGGGCCCGGCGCTGGAGGCACAAGTCTATCAGCCTGAGGCGGGCTTGGACCTTTCGCTGGGCGAATTGATTCCAAAACCCGGGAGTTGTTGGGGTCCCTGGGAAAGTCCTAATCACGAATTCTCCATTGTTTTGTTGCTTTTGTTGAGTGGAGCCTCCCAAACCCCAGCCGAAACTGGCTCAGTTGTTCAGTGGCACTCGAAGGATCCTTGGGTGTTGAAATCAGTTGCCCGGGACCCTTTGGGCAGATTCCGAGAGGGTTTCCTTCCTGAACCGACCTGAATTCCTTTTGCTGGGTTCCCCTTTGAAAGTGAAGGTCACTTGGGTGGAAGTGGATTTTGCCACGGCCAGTTGGCCGAGCTTTTTGCAGCTGAGTTTACGGCGCTCGAGCGAATCGCCTCTGGCCGAGCAAGTTTGGCTTTTCCGTGAAGCCTAGGTTTACTGCAATTCAATCACGACCGTTTGCTCGTGGCTCGCTCCGCCCCGTGTGGCACTTTGGTTCATGGCGCTGGGCCACGCACCTTTGCCTTCGAACAAACAAGAACCGTCAGCGACAAGCCGACTCGGACCAAAGAAGAAGTCTCTTGCTATCACAAACTGAAATCGCAAAAAAATCAGGGCGGCTTGCCAGTGCATGTGTTGAACTTACGGGTGAGTTTCAACAAAAAGAAAACCAAAACAAAACACAGGAACTCCTCACTGAACCCCCAGCTTCGCCGGCCTTCGATTCGACGATTCGACGTCAGGCCATCGCCTTCGCCAATGGCGAACTCTTCTTCGCCGAGCCGAGGATGGACCGACTCCGGCAGCGCCGCAGCCCAAATCTCCGCTGTTCTCTCCTGTGGAGCAGTTCCCTACTCAAAATGGTCAGAACCCAAAACGGGTTTCTTTTAGTACATGTGCCCTAAACCCACTTTTTAAAATTGGGGGGGGGGGGGGGGGGGGTTTACAAAGAACAAAACCGTGCTGGTGTTATTTGAACAATCTGATTTTCTGTGGGCACCTTTTTGGCCACTAATCTGGCTGAAAGCACCCAACAAGGCAAGTCCACGAGTTTGGCGATGTGGGTGAGGGAAACTGGGGTCTACAATATTATTCTATATGTCAAGGTTGACTAAATATGAAACATTTGAACATGGACCAAGGCAGTGAAGTTGGTCAAGACTTGTGTGAGCATCACTCGGGAAGCAAGTGCTCAGGCCTCCCAAATCTTCAAAATATCATCCAGTTTTGAAGACTCCCATTTTTGTGTCCCCTGATCCCTGAACATTCTAGATTTGCATCTTAAACCAATGGTGAAATGCTTGCAGGAGACAAACATGCCGGGCTTCGCAGCTTGGGATCCGGAGCTTCTGGGAAACGGCCCATCGCCTTTTCGAGCGGGGCCGCTGAACAATTTATGCTATTTGGTTTCTAGAAGAGCGTAAACCATTGGAATGGGGTTGTGGGGTAGAACCAAGTTCGTTCTCGTCAGAACCATAATTAAGTTAGACAATGTGAAGTACTTAGCTTCTGAAATCTTCTGAACAACTCGCCCGCAAATCTCGGCAAATTGACCATTGATTCTCCCATGCACCGGAACCTTGGATTGTTCGCTTGGGCCCAGCAATTTTTCATGATATGACCCGCCCCTTAGGGTTGGAGGTTTGCCTGAGTTTGTGGTTGATGCCAAAGGACATGGTTGACGAGTCGGTCCTGTTTGGAGCATGTTTGGTGGTCGAGTAAATCCAGGCATTGCGCCATTTTGGGGACTCCTCCAAATCCAAGTGCGCTTCAAAACTGGGGAAACAGGTATCAACAAACAGTTGCCCCTAGCACCTGAAGTTTCGGTTATGAAACACAGTCCTTATGGCTAATTTTCCGCAACTGCGTGGTGGGGATTCGGGATGCAACCCGAATTTTCCGTGTCCCTCATACTCAAATAAGCGACTGGAAGCTCATGTTCCCGTCGAAGATGAGGCAGGGTCAACGGCACTAATTGGGGGGACAAAGAATTAAACTTTCTGTTTGGACCTCTCTTCGTGAAACACTCTAAGGGCTGCCATACGACTTGGGTGCGTGTGTGTGTGTGAACATAGGAGCACCCAACAGTCAGTGGTGTCCTTTTGATGTTTCAAAGCCAACCTGAAAGGGGTCTCAACAACGGGATGTTCACCCATTTTCTCAGAACAGGCATCAGTGAAAAGGTCACCCTCGTGCCTTCCACGCCGATCCCTTGACCCCTTTTAAGACTCGACAACTTGAGTGGCAAAGTACGGCTCACCCAAGGGGCTGTCGTATCCGAGAACTTGCTCTCAGCAGGGAAAGACTATACAATACACCATCCTTGTGGTTTCCTTTAAAGGAATTTTCTAGGTTCATTCCCAAACCCTGGCTCATTCCCTACTGAGCGCCAGCAAGAAGATGGTGGGGGTATGTTAGGTTGGGAACGACCCATGTCTTTCTCTCATTGCTATCCGCGCGCTTTTTGAACTCTTGTTGAACGCACTTTCCCGGGATCTATACGTGAATTCGGCATCAAAACTCGCAGCATCCCAAAGGGGTCTGAGGGTCGGGCGTGGTTGGAAACGTGCACTTAAACGGGGATTGAGTTTGGTACCCAACCCGATTTTAATATTATTATTTGGCCCCCAATACTTTTTTTTATGGCTTGATTCCGAGTTTTGTTCAACCATCATTCCAGCTGCTTCTTGTAGCTTTCTATTTAAGATGGAAAATATATTCGGCTCCCTGGCTCAAGAATGGTTGGTAGAATCGCCTAGATTGAATCCCAAGTACTGTCAAAGAAGCAGTTGGGTTCTGGTCTCATTACTTGGTTCTTCCCCTAGGGTCCTAAGACCTTATTTCAGGTCTTTTTCCCGAATGCGTAGCGAAGGGTTCCCGTTTATAAGTGGGGGTGTGGGGGTGGAGGCCGTGTTTGGATCGAACCGCTCTCGCTGTGGCTCGGTGCGCATTTGGAGACAGAAGTGTTGTTCAGAAGTGTCGATCACAAGTGTCCATTAGAAGTGTCGTTCAGAAGTGTCGATTAGAAGTGTCGTTCAGAAGTGTCGATCAAAAAGTGTCGCTCAGAAGTATTGTCGGAAGTGTCGACTGAAGTGTTGGCTCGGAAGTGTCGATCAGAAGTGTTGCTCAGAAGTGTCGATCCGAAGTGTCGAACAGAACTGTTGCACAGAACTATTACTCAGACGTGTCCCTCAGAAATGTTGTCAGAAGTGTGGATCAGAAGTGTTGATCAGATCAGAAGTGTGGATCAGACGTGTTGCTCAGAAGTGTCAATCAGAAGTGTAGTTCAGAAGTATCGCTCAAAAGTGTCGCTCAGAAGTGTAAGTCAAAAGTGTTGCTCAGAAGTGTTGCTCAGAAGTGTCGAACAGAACTGTTGCTTGGAAGATTCGATCAGAAGTGTGCTCAAAAAGTGTTGCTCAGGGGTACCGCTCATTGTTCAGAGGCGTCGCTCAGCAGTGTCGCCCAGGAGCGTCGCTCATGTCGCTGAGGTACGTGTGTAGAAATGTTGCTCGAATTGTCGCTCAGGCAGCAGTGTCTGATGGTGTGTGGCTCAGACGTGTCGCTCAAAGGTGTTTTCAGAGTGTCGCTCAGGAGTGCCGCGCAGTGTTGCCAAGAAGTGTTGCCCAGAAGTGTTGTTCAGAGGTGTCGCTCAGAAGTGTCGCTCAAAGCGTCGCGTACATGTGTGTGTGTTTGCTCACAAGTGTTGCTCGGAAGTGCTGATCAGCAGCATCGGTCAGAACTGTTGCTCAGAACTGTCGATCAGAGGTGTCGGTCAGGGGTGTCGATCAGCAGTGTCGAATCAGAAGTGTTGCTCAAAAGTGTTGCTCGGAAGTGTCGGTCGGAAGTGTTGCTCAGCACTGTGGATCAGAAGTGTTGACCAGAAGTGTCGATCAGAAGTGTTGCTCAGAAGTGTCGATGAGCAGTGTGGATCAGAAGCGTTGATTAGAAGTGTTGCTCCCTCAGAAGTGTCGCTCTGAAGTATCGATCAGAAGTGTGAATTAGAAGCATCGAGCAGAAGTGTTGCTCAGAACTGTCGATCGTGGTGTCAGTCAGAGGTGTCGATCAGCAGTGTCGAATCAGCAGTGTTGCTCTGAGGTCTGTGTGTCAGAAGTGTTGCTCAGCAGTACTGCTCAGAAGTGCCGCTCAGAAGTGTCGATGAGCAGTGTGAATCAGAAGTGTTGACCAGACGCTCAGAACTGTCGATCACAAGTGTCAATCAAAAGTCAGTGCGGATCAAAAGTGTTGCTCAGAACTGTCGATCAGAAGTGTCGCTCAGACAAGTCGATCAAAAGTGTCGTTCAGAAGTGTCGATCAGAAGTGTTGCCCGGAAGTGTCGCGCAGAAGTGTCAGCCTGAAGTGTTGCTCAGCAGTGTCGCTAAGATGTGTCAATTCAGCAGTGTTGCTCAGAAGTGTCGCTCAGAAGTGTCGATGGGCAGTGTGGATCAGAAGTGTTGGTCAGAAGTGTCGCTCAGAAGTGCAACTCCGAAGTGTAGATCAGAAGTCTTGCTCAAAGGTGTTGCTCGGAAGTGTCGCTCAGAAGTTGTTTGACAGAAATGTCGAAGTGTCGATCAGAAGTGTGGGTCGGAAGTGTTGCTCAGAAGTGTTGATGAGAAGGGTTCCGCAAAGGTGTCGATCAGAAGTGTCGTGAGCAGTGTGGATCAGAAGTCTTGGTCGAAGTGTTGCTCAGAACTGTCGATGAGAAGTGTGGATCCGAAGTGTTGCTCATCAGTGTCAATCAGAAGTGTGGTTCAGCAGTGTTGCTCAAACTGTCGATCAGAATTGTCTATCAGAAGCGCGGATCAAAATGAGTGTTGCTCAGAAGTGTCGATCAGAAGTGTCGATCAGAAGTGTTGCTCAGAAAAGTCGATCATAAAACGTGTCGCTCAGAAGTGTTGCTCAGAAGTGTCGATCAGAATAAGTGTGGTTCAGAAGTGTTGAACAGGTATCGCTCAAAAGTGTCGGTCAGAAGTGTCAATCAGAAGTGTGGGTCAGAAGTGTTGCTCAGAAGTCTTGATGAGAAGGGTTCCTCAAAAGTGCCGATCAGAAGTGTCGATCAGAAGAGTGTCAGAAGTGTCGCTCAGAAGTGTCAAATCAGCGGTGTTGCTCAGAAGTGCCGTTCTGAAGTGTCAATTTGCAGTGTGGATCAGAAGTGTTGGTCAGAAGTGTTGCTCAGACAAGTCGATCAACAAAAAGTGCCGCTCAGAAGTGTTGCTCAGAAGTGACGATCAGAAAAGTGTGGTTCAGAAGTGTTGATTAGGTGTTGCTCTTCTGCAGAAGAGTCGCTCAGAAGTGTCAATCAGAAGTGTGGGTCAGAAGTGTTGCTCAGAAGTGTTGATGAGAAGGGTTCCTCAAAAGTGTCGATCAGAAGTGTCGATCAGACGTGTTGCTCAGAAGTGTCGCTCAGAAGTGTCAATTCAGCAGTGTTGCTCACATGTGTCGTTCAGAAGTGTGGATGAGCAGTGTGGATCAGAAGTGTTGGTCAGAAGTGTTGCTCAGAACTGTCGATGAGAAGTGTGGATCAGAAGTGTTGCTCATCAGTGTCAATCAGAAGTGTGGTTCAGCAGTGTTGCTCAAACTGTCGGTCAGAAGTGTCGATCAGAAGTGTGGGTCGGAAGTGTTGCTCAGAAGTGTTGATGAGAAGGGTTTTTTTACAGTGTCGATTAGAAGTGTCGTGAGCAGTGTGGATGAGAAGTCTTGGTCAGAAGTGTTGCTCAGAACTGGCGATGCGAAGTGTGGATCAGAAGTGTTGCTCAGAAGTGTTGCTCAGAGAAGTCGATCCAAAAAAGTGTCGCTCAGAAGTGTTGCTCAGAAGTGTCGATCAGAATAAGTGTGGTTCAGAAGTGCGTCCATGAGAAGTGTGGGTCGGAAGTGTTGCGCAGAAGTGTTGATGAGAAGGGTTCCTCAAAAGTGTCGATCAGAAGTGTCGATCAGAAGTGTTGCTCAGAAGTGTCGCTCGGAAGTGTCGATCAGAAGAGTGGGTCGGAAGTGTTGCTCAGAAGTGTTGATGAGAAGGGTTCCTCAAAAGTGTCGATCAGAAGTGTTGCTCATAACTGTCGATGAGAAGTGTGGATCAGAAGTGTTGCTCAACAGTTCAACTGTCGTTCAGAAGTGTCAAGTGTTGCTCAGAAATGTCGATCAGAAAAGTGTCGCTCAGAAGTGTTGCTCAGAAGTGTCGATCAAAGTGTGGTTCAGAAGTGTTGATCAGGTGTCGCTCAAAAGTGTCGCTCAGAAGCGTCAGTCAGAAGTGTTGCTCAGAAAAGTCGATCAGAAAAAGTGTCGCTCAGAAGTGTTGCTCAGAAGTGTCGATCAGAAGAAGTGCGGTTCAGAAGTGTTGATCAAGTGTCGCTCAAGTGGCGCTCAGAAGTGTCAATCAGAAGTTGTGCTCAGACGGTCGCTCAGAAGTCGCTGGAAAATCGCAACGTTGTAGTGCAAGTCTAGTGCGCGAAGTACAGGTTTCGAAGTACAGGTTTCTGGAAAATCACAACTTTCAAGTGCAAGTCTAGTGCACGAAGTACAGGTTTCCAGCTCCAGCTCGCAAATCGCAACTTTGTAGTACCATGGCAGTCTAACTCGCGAAGCACAGGCTTCCAGCTCCAGCCTGAAAATCGCGACTTTGTAGTACAAGTCTAGTACGCAGCACCGGTTTCCGGCTCCAGCTGGAAAATCACGACTTTGTTGTACAAGTCTTGTACGCGAAGTACAGGTTTCTGGCTCTAGCTCGAAAATCGCGACTTTGTAGTACAAGTCTAGCACGCGAAGTACAGGGTTCTAGCCCTAGCTGGAACACACGTGTTTGCAGATGCATCGGGTGCTGAAAGTGGCAGGTGTCTGCGATTTGCAGAGATCTTTGCTGGTGGTTGTGGTGGATGTAGTACAAGTCTGTACGCGAAGTACAGGTTTTTAGCTCCAGCTGGTAAATTGCGACTCTGTAGTACAAGTCTAGTACGCAAAGTACAGGTTTAAAGAAAATCGCAACTTCGTAGTACCAGCTGGAGAATTGCAACTTTGAAGTACAAGTCTAGTGCGCGAAGTATGCAAGTTTCCGGCACTAGCTGGAAAGTCACAACTTTGTAGCGCAAGTATAGTACGTGAAGTACAAGTTTCCAGCTCTGGCTGCAAGGTCGCAACTTTGAAGTGCAAGTATAGTACGCGAAGTACAGGCTTTGAGCTCCAGCTCGAAAATCGCAACTTTGTAGTATAGTACGCAAAGTACAGATTTTCAGCTCTAGCTGGGCAATCGCAGCTGTGTAGCGCAAGTCTTGTGCGCGAAGTACCAGCTCCGGCTGGAACATCGCAACTTTGTAGTACAAGTCTAGCGCGCGAAGCGCAGGTGGCCAGCTCCAGATTGAAAATCGTAGCTTTGTACCACTTAAGTGGAGCACGCAATGTACAGTTTTACAAGCTGAGAAACATAGTTTGCGCAGTAGGCTTGATTGCGAGCCCCATTGGCTTATACCGAAAAATGTTCTCTCTAATTATATTCTTGGGCTTGCGCAGAGTGATGTGCATTCGGGTTCGTGGGCTCTGTCTTGTTTGGACTCTTTGAGGCCTTCATACCTGGAAAGCCCGGCGGTGCAGAATTTCTGCCGCTGATTGAAATTGCATTTTTTCGCCGTTGCTGCAACAAAACGCTTTTTGTCCCCCAAAACGCCGTTGGAGCAATTCGTCAATATTCGCCAAAAACGCCGTTTGATCGCCAAAAAACGCCGTTTGGTTGGCGAAAACGTAAAAATCAGTCGACCAGCTTGACCTTGCATACAGTCAGTTTCCCCCAAAAACGCCTGGAGGCAGAAATTCATGTTCCCAGACTGAAAAGCAGTTTCGTTCAAAAGGCGGAAATTTTACACACCTTGGGATTCCCAGGTATAGGTCTTGGGCTGTTCCCCAAAATTTTGACCCAGCTTCTTGTGGCGTCCCTTTACCAGTTCCCTAAAAATGGGCTGCTTCCTTATCTTTACCATCCCGGAAAAGCTAAGAAGTTTTGGGCCAAACCAAATCGCACCGAGGATGGACCTCAGCTCCGGCGTCATCGACACGGCGCTCAGCACCTACGCCGTGAACTTCTCGGCCGGCGAGGGCCTGGCAGGCGCCGATGTCGGAATTTTGGTCGAGAAAGCGAAGCTTCGAACGTCGGAAAGCCAGCCAAAATCTCCCCATACATATATATATATATATATTTTTTTTGGGGGTGTCCGCATCCCATTTTCGAACCCAAAACTTGTTGGCTTTGTCTGGAAATCAGATTCTGACCCTCCCCCCCGCAAGAAAGAGGATAATGATTGCGTTTTTTGTGGTGCTTTTCCCGGAAGAGCAACAACAGGAGGTAGCACCATGAAACAGATTCACCCATTTGGACCCCTCACTTCCTGAGTTCCTTGGACTTCAGTCACTTCTTGGGTCTATATTGGTGGCAAACAGTTTGGACTCTTTTGGCCAATCCACTCAGGATGGAAAGCAGCTGAGCTTCGCTTTTGTTTAACCACATGTGCCAAGGAAGCGGGCGGACATGATTCTTGCATGTGCGTGCGACGGAAGGTTTGCGGAAGGGTTTGCGAGGCCAGCTTCGCGGCTCCGGCGAAGATGCTAAGCAACCATTGTAGCCCAAAGTCAAAAGCTCAGCGGAAGCTGAAAAGCCACGCAGCTGCGGTGGTTTGCGACATTCCCACTTCATTATGGCCCCCATGATTTCCATTTTCCCTGTCGGGAAGGCTCGGAAATGGGGTTTGGGGGACACCCAACCCTGTCATGAAAGTTTCCGTTTGCATCCGTTGCCCCACTGCGGGGAAATCTCGGATTCACGGATGGTCTTTTCCGCTGGCCAGGGCCCAAGGCTTGCAGTCCCTTTTCTCGAGGCCTTGTTTGCATTGCATGTGAACTTAGCGTTAAGTTCAGGCCCTGGGGTACTTCAGGCAAACCAATAGGAAGCCAACACTTTCCGAATCCTTTCGAAGTGCCAAATGGTGTTGCAAGCCTGTACTATGCCTCAAAATAGCGTTCCCCCCCAATTCAAAAAGGGACTCTCTCTCTCCCTTTGCGCGCGGGCCGAGCGCGGCGAATTCATTTGCGATGCTCGATGTCTTCCACGTGGCGGGCGAAGTGGTTCGTCGAAAGCTCAGCCCAAATTAGCAGCGTTTTCGTTTGTCGGCTCCAAATCAGTATACGTCTTCTTGTAGGGGGCTCCAAAGATTCTTCGGCTTTCCTTTTTGGCTTTGCCATTTTTTCGCCCAGCAAACAGGGCTAGCCTCACAAGAAAGCCACACCCGATTGGCTTTGGGTCCGTAAGGGCTTCAAATGAAGATATCAGGAATGTCTGCTTGTGAAAGTCAGAAAGCTGTGGACTTCCCAACCTATCAGAGTCTGAGTTTGAACATGCCAGCCTTCGGACCCAATCTTTTGTGCTGAAAGTGTCCTGGGACCGAAACGCGCCTCGTGTTTTCTTGCCTTGCCTCTTCGTTGTTGTTTTTTCTTTTTGTTTCTTTCATGTGTGATTTTGGCAGAAAACGGGTGGAGGTGGGGGTGTAGTATCAGGCCACTGCTGGCAGAAAACTCCAACTGAGGGCTCGCAAACTCAGGTCAGTTTTAGTGTACTTGATGATTTTGCTGAAGATCACTCAACTAAAGCGTCAGGTTCCCTATCTTCATTTTGAGCAAGCATCTACTACGTTTCTCCCAGTGAACCATGAGGGTCCAAGTGTTTGGTAAGGATTCTGACCCCTTCTTGACCCTCATCAGAAGGCACCCTCACTCCCTGAGCTGGGCTTTGAAGCTTGGGTTACCATGTGGCAGACAGTTTGGACTTGCCAATTGCTCACCCAGGGCCCCGACGTCGCGACGGCCGAAGAGGGCAAGGCGAGGTCCTGAAGCAAGCCAAGGCCAGCGAATCCGCGGAAGCGCCAACGACAGCTGCGTCGCCCGTGGACTCGGCGACTCGGCGGTTGGATACATGGGCCCAACTGATCTTCACTTTTTTTGGGTGTGTCTTGTTTAGACCCCGAGACAATTGCGGTTTTCGCCCGCTGCAACAATTGGGGGGTAGCCTCCAAAAAAGTGACAGACCCGAGCAAACCTTTTGAAGCTTCTGGCCTTCGGACCCAAGGCTGCTGGGGTTGTCACGTCAGGTTTGAACCCAAGGGATTCAGAGAGTGACGAGCTCTGCTTTGAGCCTCTGCCAGTTTCGGGGTCCTCGAGGTGATCATTGAAGCGCGAAAAAGGGGGCCCCATGCTCTACATTTTATTGTTGTTGGGTAGTTGAAACATGCATGTTTCATACACCCAGTTCTCGAAAGCGAGTCGAGCCTAGTCGTTTGGCTTGCCTTCGTCTATTCATTCTGTAGTCTAGACAGCCCAGAAAGTGATCACTTTGACTGTAGAACCCTTTCAAATGGAATATTTCCCCGGATGAACATAGAACATGGAACATGATTGGGGTTCAATGTCAAAATTGTGGATGAGTCACAAGGGGCTTCATATCCAGTTGTGGTCTGGAAGGGGAGGGGGTGAGTCCGAAACCAGAGTGCTCGATCGCTAAAGAGGGAGCTCCAATTGTCTCGCTATGGTCCCCCGATCTATTTCAAGAGGATCCAATGATGTCCCAATAGTCGATGTAGAGACTATTGGATGTCTCTGGCAAATAAGCATGCAGTGGTTGTCCCTGCGAGCGTACCGCAAGGTTCTTTCCCTCATCCGGAATCACATGCGTGGTGTGAAAAGAAGACGCAAAAAGGCCCTTGAGCCAAAATGGTTGTGGGAAGATCAATGGTGCAATGCGAAGCAAAAGCCAACACCAAACAGACACCAACTTCTCCTGATTTTCCACACCAAACTTAATATGTATGCGTAAATATACTGGGTTGGCCTTTTGGGCCGTAGCCCTTTCAATCAGGTTTACGCGGACGGAACTCATTTTCAAGTCATTGAGATCACCGTTTTGATGTGATCGGGTTTGTTCGTCCGGCAAATGGAAAAGCATATGCAGGTCCAATGCAAGTTGAAATCGAATTTGCGCACATGATTGGGAAGCAGAAGGGAAACCGAGTCGTGTCTAAAAGTTGCATCGTTCTTTACTGGAGGACAGGTTTTCCTTGTGAAACTACCAAGTCTCTCGCTGCATGAGAATAGTCCTATAAAAGATGAGGTTAATGTCGCAATAAAAATAGTCTTGTTGACGAGGAGGTCTGGTGCCGTTTTGTTGGGTGTGTTGAAACTGGATTTCGTGCTTGCCTAAAAACACTTTCAGCGTCGCCATTTCTTGTCCTGGTAGAGCTATCCGATGCGGTTGCGGAATAGTCCACCCAGCGTTGATGATCTTGCCATCCGTAGTAGTCGTTGACCTTGTTGTAGTTCGGTCTTCTGGATGTTTCCCTGCTTCGGATCGACTCCCGATGTACCCCATCAGAGGGAGGTGCGTTTCTCCATCGCCTGTCCCATTCATGAACATCTTGTGCTTGAATCTCTCCGCTGAGGAAACTTGATAGTCGGCGATGAGTTGGATGTTGTCGACGACATCTGGAAAAGACGTGTCATAGTCGGATCCCGTCTTTGTTGCTGGATGAAGGACCGCTTGTTGGTTGAGGTATCCATGGTGCAATCAAGACGGCTGGGATGGATGGATGGTGGATGGACGGACGGATGGCTGGGTGGATGGATGGAGGGGGATTGGATGGGGGATGGATGGGTGGAAGGCATGGATGGATGGCATGGATGCACGGCTACGAGGATGGATTCATGTTTGGTACGTTGGTTGGTTCTTTGGTTGGGAATGTCTTGGGGAAGGCTGGCCCCAATCGCGGGTCATGCAAGGGATGCAGGCCATGCGCGAAACGCAGGGGCTTCCGAAAGTGCCGGCGACGCAGGCAGTGCAGCCGGGTTGTGAGCCTTCCCCCACCAAAAGCGCCGGTGCGAGGGGTCGACGGCAGCAACCGTCAGCCGGAAGGCAAAGCCGATAGGCATGCGCCCCTTTGGGCGACATAGCGTGGCGAGACCGGATTTACATGCTGACGCGACACAGCCGGCCACCGGTAATCTAGCTCGTCATGCGCCCATCCACCCACCCGCCCACCCATTTCACTTCCAGCCCCTGCATATCCTTTCTTTCAAGGCCCTGCAGCCTTCCATCAATTCTCACACCCATGTTCCACACCGGCCTGGACAACATCCCGGGCCACGCATCTTCTGCATCATCCGTATCAATGTCCGCCATGGATGCCGATGATGCGGGGGTTGCGCACCCCAAAAAGTGCTCGTTTTTTGACCCTGCGGCGACAGGCCACAAAAATCGCCAATCATCGACTTAACCCTTCTCCCCATATTATGGCGGGCGCAGCTAGGTCCTCGCTAGGTCCTCTCACGGTCGGCGGCGTGGTGCGGACAGCCAGATACCTGAAGGTAAGACCTTCGGCCCGACGGACCACCCTCCGATGGCCGCATTTTCGTTGCCTACCTACCTACCTACCTACCTTCCTACCTGCATGCATACATACATACATACACACATGCGTGTATCCACACATGCATGCATGCATACGTACTCACAGATCGAACTACATGAAACTACAGTACAGCACATGACACGTTACATAACATTTGCGTTGCACCGGCATTTGCAACACCGCCACCAACAACGACAACAACCGCCACGACAACAACAACAACAACAACAACAACAACAACAACAACAACAACAACAACAACAACAACAACAACAACAACCGCAACCGCAACCGCAACCGCAACCGCAACCACAACCACAACCACAACCACAACCACAACCACAACACAACAACAACACAACACAACAACAACACAGCAACAGCAACACAAAAGCAACAGCACAGCAACAGCAGCAGCAGCAGCAGCAAGCAGCAGCAACAGCAACACAGCAACAGCAACAGCAACAGCAACAGCAACAGCAACAGCAGCAACAACAACAACAACAGCAACAGCAGCAACAGCAACAGCAACAGCAACAGCAGCAGCAGCAGCAACGTCAACGTCAACGGCAACGGCAACGGCAACGGCAACGGCAACAGCAACAGCAACACCACAACAACAACAACAACAACAATAACAACCGCAACCGCAACCGCA